TGCTATGGTCTGAAAATGTGCATGACATAATTTCAGTTCTTTTGTTTTTAATTAAATGTCCTGTATTGATTAGTATGTGGTTGATTTTGGAGAAAATTTCATGTACTTCTGGGAAGAATATATAGCTGTTTGTTGAGTAAAGCACTCAGTAGGTATCTATTAAAGCCATTTGTTTGGGCCGGCCAAATAGCTCAGTGGATTAAAACACCTGCAAGTAGGCTCAGAGGGTGTGGGTTCAATCCCCCGGCCTGTCATACCATCCCCATCCCTGGGGCATGCTGAGACAGAGTTTGAGATTGGGCATGGTGGCACGTGCCTGTAATCCCAGTTTTTGGGAGGCTGTAAACAGGAGAATCACTATGAGTCTGATCTAGTAGTGAGACACTGAACACCCTGTAGACCCTTCCCCTGCCCCCCAAAAAAGAAAAGAATCAAAAAAAGGAAAAAAACACATTTGCTTGAAGATTTTTAAAAATTCTAATATTTATCTGTTGATTTTTTGGTCTATTTGATCTGTAAGGTGTTAAGATCTCCCACTATAATTATGTTTATATTTCGTTCAATAGTGTTTGCTTTATGAAGGAAGAAATACCTTCCTTTGGTGTTTATGCATGTATGTTTATAATTGTTATTTCTTCCTGTTGAATTGTTTCCTTAATGAATATATAAAGACCTTCTTGGCCTTTTCTAATCAATTTTGGCTTGAAGTCTACTTTGTCTGAGTCTGGGATAGTGGTGGGTACTCTATTTTCATGTTCCTGTTGCATGAAATACTGTTTTCTATCATTTGATTCTTAGTTTATGAATTTATTTTTGGGTTATATGCTCTTTTATATAGAATAACATTGTGTTTTTTTTCTCAATCCATCGGCCATGTTTTTTTTTTGACTGGGAAAGTAAGACCATTCATACTGAAAATCACTATGGATAGCTACTGATTTATATCTGTTATTACATTGTTTTGCAGTTTTCAAATCCATTTATTTCTCTTCTACTTAACTTCTCACCCTACTTGGTATATTCATTCATTCTATTAGACCTTTTTTCATGGCAGCTTTCTTCTCTCTTTTTAGGAAATCCTTGAGAATTTTTGGGAGTGCTGACTTGAAGGAGTCTTTACTTAAACTGGAGCAAAATCTGCATTGTGAGACTTTTATTACTCATGGCCACACAAAACATGTGTAATGAGACCAGGGATGTAGCTTAATGGCACAAGCATCTGCCTGGCAAGCACAAGGTCCTGAGTTCAATTCCCAGTAGAAAAAAAAATGTGTATAATCTTTGCTCACTAAAAGATCTTTGCTTCAACCTAATGAACACCACCAGTGTATCCACAAGTACATACATTAAAGGCCAGATACAGCTGTTGCTTGGGGGAAACCTCTCAGGGTTCACTTTTTCTAGAAGACACAGGGGAACAAATATACTTGCATCCTTCACTATGGCTAGAGTGATTATTCTTTTTCTTTTTATATTTTCATGCAGGTTCTACAGGGTCTACAGGGTCTCACTACATAGATTAGATTCATAGTGATTCTCCTCTTTTCAACTTCCCAAGCACTGGGATTGCAGTTGTGAGCTACCACACCCAGTCTCAGTTGTCTCAACACACCCTGGTTGGCGGGACCAGCATGGCACTCTGGGGGTCAAACCCCGACCGCTGCATTCTGCCTAAGCAGGTGCTTTAATCCGCTGAGCTATCTGCCCATCCCTTGGAATGATTTTTCTACAATATATTCGTATCATGTTACTTTTAGAGCTAAAAATCCCCCCTGATGCCCCATTGTTTCCCAGACCAAATTCAAGTTCATCACAGAGGAAAAGGCAAGTAGGGAGTAGGGGAGAGGAACCTCAGTCTCTTCTCTTCTTCTTCTTTCCACACTCCACATTCATCACTGTTCTTGAAGAACAAATACCCCTGGATGCTTTTAGACTTCTTCTGGTGTTTTCTAGTAAGAAATACAAGAAAACTATGGAATTTTGTCTTAATTACTTTTCTCTTGTTGCTCGAGACCAAATATCTGATGCCCAAAATTAAGTAAGGAAAGGTTTATTTATCTTACAGCTTGTAGAGGTTTCAGTTCATATTCGGCTGGCTCCAAGGCGGGGTGGCCCATGGCAACAGTTCATCTTGGCAGAAAACAGCAAGAACAACAAGAGCAGAAGGGTAGAGCAGAGAGAGCCAGCCTCTTTCTCTGCCTTATACTGTATGCAGGCTGCCTGCCCCAGGGCGGGTGCAGCACTCACACCCATAATTCTCACATTGAACCATGAATTGATCACACACTCTAGAAGCCCTCCTCTTGACTGTATGGGGTTCTGGTTGCACATCTAGACACAGACCATAACAGGTGCTGTCTTAGTTACATTTCTCATCGCTGAGAAATACCAGGCACCCAAAGTGAAAGGAGGAGGGGCTTCTTGTAGCTCACGGTTTGTAGAGGTTTCAGGTCATAGCTCCTGGCTCCCCGGCAGGGTGGCAAGGCAGAGGGGTATCACACAGAAGAGACAGTCCATGACAGGCAGAAGGCAGGAAGGCAGCAAGTGACAGCAGCATCCCTCTTTCTGTACCTTCCATTCTAACCAGGCTACATGCTCTTAGGGTGGGTAGCATCCATGCACAGGGAGGGCCTCCCCATCATCCTCACCCATAACTATGACAAAAACCAAACAGTGGACTAACGTAGTGGTCACACACTGTTTATTCCAGTGCCACACACTCCAGATCTACCTCTGAAAGCCCCACCTGTGACCACATGAGGCTTTGGGGAGGGGGCGTCTAAATGGCAGCCATAACAGATGCTCACTATGCCTTTAGAAAGTGCTCCAAAGATAGATACAGGCCAAGGTAGACTCCCTCCTCTACCCCAGCCCTCCGTAACGTCCCTTCAAAATATCTCTTTTTAGGTTTTCTTTTTGTGTGCTTGTTTATCTGTTGGCAAATGACTGCTTCTGTGTCAGTGCAGACACCAGAACCTCCCTTAGCAATCAGGGTGCTCTCCTGGGAATGGGAATGGGAATGACACTCTGTGTCGGAGAGGTGCCTGCAGCACAGGCAGAGGGGCGTGGCGAAGGTTGGAGGTCACGGAGCCGCTCCCATTCACAGCTGTTCGTCCAATTCACATAAAGCAGATTAGTTACCTGCGCAAAGGTATCTTAGCACTTACAGAAAATTCCCAAATCAGTGTCTAAAATTAATTCTCTCTGTCAGGCAAAAAAAACCCCACCACCACCACCACCACCACCAATCACAACACCCACCCCTGCAAACGCCCCCCCCACGAGTTGTTCCCAGGAGGACCACGCTAGTTAGAAGGAGTCTTTGGAGATTTTGTGAGGTCCCTGGAGGCTTTGCTAAGAAAACTTTATATCACTGGCTTCTCCAGTAGCCAGAGAGTCAAAGAGCTTTGGTTCAATCACTTATTGATTCAGTGGACATATTGAAACTCCTTTCTCCGTGCCTGTGCACGCAGAGCTTAATTTCTCTGAGTATGGCAGAGCTTCTGTGAGTGCGGTGGGTATCCTACCCAGCTGGTGTTCCCAGAGGAACCTGAGGGTGGCAACAGTGATGTTGTTTTACATTCATGGCATTTGGCTTTTATTATTTCCTGGGCAACTCACAAAAGCCACTATTCGAAGCACTATAATTGTCATTTTATAGATGAGAAAATTGAGGTCTAAAATGATGGATTAATTTGTCATAACAAATTAATATATGGTCTGTGGAAGACCACCTGAGCAATTCTCCTTGAAAGAAGAACAGTTGTCTCCATACTGGCTGTGCCTGACCCTATTCCCGTGTATTGATATGTACAGAGCTGGCTAGGACTTTTCCTTAGCCCTTCAACTGGCTTTACGCAACGCATATTCGTCTATCTGAGGTGCTGGTGGTAGACTTTGAAGATGGCAGGCATGCTTCCCTGGAAACCCACACCCACTGCTCCCTAGCATGAGCCTGGTCTAGACAGGACAAAGAGCCGATGCTCCGCATCGTTGGCTGGGATGGAGCCTTGAGATGGAGGCTGTGAGCTTGAAAGATCGCATGTCAGAGCTGAAGCACCAACCCCAAATCGTTAGCTACGGTCTCGGTTGTGTTATGCAGATTACCCTCTGCATATCTTTCTCTCTGAATATCGCAGAGGTAAATGCAGGCCTCCTACCTAGCCCAGCTCACTCGCCTACTTCCCACCACTCTGTCACTCATCCTCAAGCCACTCCTCCTTCATGAATGAATAAAACCCAGGGTCGGCCCTAGGTCGAGGCTTTTGTTCTGGATAACCATCTTCATGGCTGGGCTTAGGACCCTTGGCTCCTCATTACTACAAATGCACCTTAGTGTCTTCATTCTCACCATGGGTTGCACTGGGTGCGGTAGATTGGGATTAACTTAATGAGATTCCAATAATTTATCCATGGTGTTACAAATATAAACTTCCTGAACTGGGATGAAAGCCAAAAAGTGTTCTCTCTATATTCAAGCCCAACACTTGTCCTTTAAATCATCTACATTTAAAAATTTATTTCTCATTATAAAAACAGTTCCAAAAAATTGGTTCCTTGAAAAAGATTCAAACAACATAAATCAAGCAAGAAGCTCATGATGGGCTGGGAAGATGACTTGGTGGTCTAAGCACCTGCCTGGCAAGAGTAAGGACCCATGTTCAATCCCTGGTGCCACATGCCTTGCTGGCCCTGTGACCCCAGTATGCAGTGCTGGCCACTGAAACCAGGAGTGGTGCCACAAGCCTGTAGTCCCAGTGCTGGGGAGGCTGAGACAGGAGGATCACTATGAGTCTGAGTTGCTTAGCATGACCCTATACTAAATAAATAAATAAAAGATTAAAAAAAATTTTTTAAAGCTCATGATGTTCTAGTTTTCTTCCCACTCTAGAGGTAATAGCTATGTTCTGGAATTGTCATTTACATATATACACACACACATATATATATATATTTTTGTTTTATACTGAATTTACATGAATAAAAGGATACACTGTCAGTATTGTTCTTGAATCTGCAATTTATAAATGATCAGAGCTCACAATACCAAAGTCATCACACACGAAAGCATTTTCTTAAAACGAAGTCCACTTTACCACATTAATTTTACACAGTAACAGAATAGGAAATGCATGCAGACCTGTCTAAATCTTCTTGCTGATTCTCTTGAAGGTGATGTCACCCAGTGTCATGGTCTGAAGGACAGAAAACAAATCATGAAATGTTCATCCAGTGGTGAACAGAAAAGGTAAGTCACTGGGCCACAAATAGCTTCAAACGTGCTAACACTTGAACCAATGCAATGATTCCTCCAGTCAGTGATTCTGCAAGGACCGGAGGAAGGGCAGACTACTCTTTCTAAAATCTGACTCCGCTGTTGTACTCTCTTCTATCGGATCCTCACAGCGCCAAATGAGCAAAGACATCTATTAGACGCCTGAGCCTATAGGGCAGCTGGAGGCCCTGTGGCTTGTTGGCTGGTGCTGAGGCCGGAGGAATGGCCGTGGTTATTAGCTATGCGATGGGAGAAGCAACGGAAGAGCCTGACATTCTCTGTGCGTGGATTCCGCATTGCAAGACTGGCTCTTCTGTGGCTGGGAAGGCCTGGGGTGGGGGTGCACCTGCAGACTGAAGGAGTTTCTGCAGATGGAGTGCGTGCTGCCCTCTACTCTGAGCTGTGTCCCAACGAAGACAGAAAACATGAGTGCTGCAGGTCACTAGGGGAGTCCCTGCTCCTCTCCTGCCAGGTGCTCCCTTACCCCATGGCCCGAGGGAAAAGGGGAGAGGAGATCGGTGTGGGCATTGGTGAAGGAAGGAAGGGGGCAGAAGAGGCTGGCAAGGAAGTCAGCCTGAGGGCGGTGGGGATGCCAGGGGCCTGGCACCAGCTACAGGGTGACTCTGGGGAGTTAAAAAGGGGCAACTGTTCCTCAAGATCCTTTCTCTGTCCAGGAGCAAATCTATGAGTTATGCTGTAGTGGTTTGGTTAGAATAGGAAGGTTAGAGCCAGCAAGATAGCTCATTGGACTAAGCGCCCGCTTTAGCAAGCACAGGGACCAGGGCTCGACCCTTGCCTCTGGGTCATGCTGAGCCAGCAATAGAGTCTGCATGTGGTGGCTCAAGCCTGTAATCCTAGTGTTGGGGAGGCTGAAAGCAGGAGGATCACTACGAGTCCAATCTGCGTAATGAGACCTACACCAAATACATAAAATGAAAAAAGGAATAAAAAAAAAAGGAACGGAATGGCTGCAAGAAGGTGAATGAAGTGTGATTTAAAAAAAATAGAGAATATTTACTTTAATAACAACAACAACAAAAACCTATTATAGTAAGAGACACATCAGCACTAACCCGCCTCAACGCACCCCCCTTTGGACACATGCATCTCCACGTTTGCCGCTTTCTAAAGTTCTCCAAGGCCCATTCCAAGGATGTCTTTGAAACTTGTGACCAACAATATGATAAATGTCACTGCGCACTGCCACCCGAGGGAAGACTAGTCTCATGAAAATGCTACGGCATGTCCTTATCCACACTGCTCATTGGATTTGCTACCATGCGGCTTCTACCTTTTTGCCAAAGTTGAAAAGATCGTGAAAGGTGAAGAATTTGGATCCACATGGGGCCTGGAGGCCACAGAGGCCGTGACAACACAGTCAAACACAATCGCTAAGGAGCCTCAGAGTTGTCTCAAAAAGCAGCAAGAACTTGGAATGAGTGTCTTTGACGGGAGGAGCGGCGTATTGTGGAGAATTACCGCAACGTGTCTAACTGTAGTAAATGTCTTACTGTAGTGAACATCCTCTGTACTTACAGAGCACGACCCTAAATACCGAAACCTACATGGTCTGTGGTGTGAGTGCAGCCCCAAGGGGCACACCAAGTCAGAGGAACCCGGCTGTGCTGTTCCATGGCTGCTTGCTGCCTCCGTTTCCCCTTTAGAGAACTGCTAGTGGGAAGCTTAGAGATGCTATGGGAACTGCCTGCTGCATAAGGACCCTCAGCGAAGAGGGAGAGGACATAGAAAGGTGGAGAATTCAGGGCTCGGGGGATAAAGCGAGGCCTGGGTGAGCAGTGCAGCTGTTCCCCCTCCCTCTCCTCCTCCTCCTCCCTCAGCACCCAGAGTCACAGGCACAGGGCGCCAACTTACGCTGGTCAGGGTGTCCCCATTGAGTTCAGTCACAGACTTGACATTTTTGAAAGTTGTCACCAGCTTGTTGTTGCCTTCCATGTTAACCACTGCCTGCGGGGACAGAGAGAGGCCTGTGGAGAAAGGGCTGTGGAGAGCACGACCCTCGCTAGTGAGCTGGTTCCCTGTGCAGGTGTCACTTGGGACAACCAAAGCGCTCTGACCTCTGTGCTCCCAACCTCAACAGAGGAGAGGAGCATGGAACACCTCTGCAGAGCAGAGATGAGGAGCAATGGGAAGAGGTGGAGAGAGAGCACGCTGAGCCCAGCACACAGCCATCTGGGAGCAGGGAGGACGGCTGCTCCTGCTGCTCCGTGGTGCTGGGGGCGCTGGGGGTGCAGTGTGTCCTGGGAGCAGCAGAGGGCGGGTCCTGGCTGTCGCTGAGCTCTGTGGCCCCAGGCCTGTGGAGGGAGCTGCCCTGCCCACTGCCTTCAGCGGGGCAGGCTGACCTCCCCTTCGCAAGGCCCTGAGCTCTGTGCGTACCCCAAGGCTCGTTCTATGCCTGCCTGGGTCCTGGGCTTCTGGTGCTGCCAGCGCCTCTCCCAGGATGCCGCTCCTGTTCCCAAATGCTCTGGGCTTGGCTAAGGCCATCATGATCTGCCCTGTGTTAGGAGCTCTCACTGACTCCCCCAACACTTTGCCGAACTCTGTTCAGGGGAGTTTGGGAGCCAGGAGCCCAGCCTCAGGGAATTTGAGATCTGGGATCCTGTTCTTTTCCTGGTTTCTTCCCTTCTTCCATGTAGTAGAACTTAGTGGTGGTGGCTGCAGCACCCTCCTGCAGATTCTGTAAAAATGACTACAGCATCCTGACAATTTCTCTGCTTCTCCTGCTGACAAGGTGGCTTAGAGAGGGGCTGCCTAGGATGAGAAATATGAGGCCCAGGGTCCGGTACACCAAGAAGCCCAGAGGCCAGGCTCCAGGGAATCTTCCAGAAGCAGAGCATGTTGGAAGAGGTGCCTCCTACCTTGACCTTCTCTCCAGTCATGGTCTCTATCTCACACTCCTGCCCCAAGGTGAATTCATTCTTGGTCACTTTGGTCCCTGTGGTAATAGTGATCTTGAAGTGCTTTCCATTCTGCACGATTTCCGACACCCCCTTGAGGTCCTTCCCCTTCTGGATGAGGTCGTCAGGTACCCCTGGAGGAATCCATCCAAGATTTAGAGATAGCAAGGGTGGGATTTACAAGGCTGAGGCAGACAGGAGAAGCTGTGCCATGGACAGGTGGAGGCCACAGACTCTGGGGACCTGGGAGCAGCAAGGGCTGCAGCCTCGGAGAGGGAAGAAGGGTGGCCTGGCCTGGCTGCTGCGACCTTGAGCCTTTCTTTTTGCTGTGGGTCTTCTGCTTCTGGCTCCTCTTTCTCTCCTCCTTGAGTGGCTCTGCTCTGGGAGTCAAACCCTGTCACCCTCCACATCCAGTGGGCTCGGAGAGTGTCCCTTCAGGTCCAGTCACCACTGAAGTGACAGGAGGAGCTACTCATAACCAGGAGAGGGGACCATGTGCAGAGTGTAGTTGTGCCAGGCTAACCCGAGATTTTGTAGGACTGAATGCTCACAGGATATTCTAAGAGCAAGACTGGGTGGGCTGGGGGATCCTGCTGCACAGGTGAGAAGCTTGAAAGGCAGAAGTGGGGTGCCTTGCCTCAGAGGGTGCCCAAGAGCTCAGGGTCCTCCTGCCCTGCCCTCGCTGTTTTCTGGCTCTTCTTCCTCTCCCCAGCTCCCTGGCCATACTGCAGCCTCTGCCCACAGGACTCCCTCGGCCTGGAACATGCTCCCCTCCCTGGGGCCGTAGGGGGCACCTGCTCCTCTTCCCAGCCTCCCCTTCACCATCCCTCCGTTCCCCCACACCCCTGCTCTGTGGGGGGCAACACCTGCTTCCTACTCCAACATGAACACATCCCTTCACGCGACCCTCGTCATGCCAAGTTACCTTTCTAGGTCTCACTAGTAAAGTGGGAAAACACTTAGTTCTCAACGCAGGGTTCTGCTGAGGCGTGAATGCTGCATTCTTAGCAAGCGCTTAGCCCGATACTGGTGCAGTCACCCCTCCTACAAGTTAAGGGGAACCTGCTGCACTGATTTCTTGTCTTCTCTCCCTAAAGGCTGACCGTTCAAATGTGGCTCTTCGTTAAGTCTCAGAGCTATGTATCCAGCAGCTACATATCCACACAGCAGTGCTGTGTGGTTGTCCATGAGTGCATTTGTTAGGAGAATCCGTGCTTATGTGAGGGAGTGAGCAGGGTCTCACAGGAAGTATGGTAGGTGCAGGCTTCCATCCTGATCCCACCTCGCCGAATGCTCTTCCCACCTGCCTTCTGGTGGCCTTGCCCAGCGAGCAACAGCACAAGTGGCCAGAAGCTCCCATTCCACCCCAACACCTGACACTGAATTCCACTGCGTACAGGGCCAGATCTCCATGTTGTGGCCGTGGCCTTCGTGGCCTGCCCAGCACTCACCAATCGCCTTCATGAAAGACTCGAAGTTTTCCTGGCTCTGCAGCTGGTATTTTCCAGAGAAGTTCATGGTGGTAATGGGGTTTCTTCTCCAAAGCTGGCCCAAATCTGTGGGCCAGATTGCCCACTGGGGGCTGCTTTATAGGGGCTTCTTGCTCTCCGATATGGACCATAGGTCAGTGGTGCTGGATTTCTTCATGGCCAGGTTCAAACATTAACTCCCAAGAGCAATGGTCAGTGATAATAAGCTTAATTGACACAGCAGTGGTGTGTTCTTCGGTGGCCAGTAACGACCAGGTCTCAGGGACGGAACCCCAGGCCTCTAGTGTTTAGGCTGTCGTCCCACCTGTTATGAGCGAGGTGTGCATGCGGGACATGTGTAGGTGTGCACACTAGACACATTCGAATTGTGGTCGAAGCATGTGGTCAGTGTTCAAATATTAAAAATTTATTGAGAGACATATGTGCATTAATCTCCCTCAAATTCCTCCCCACACTTTAAACACGTCCTGAAGCAGTTCTAGAAGTCTCCTCTGTCTCCGTGAGGTGAGCAAACACGACAGTGAACGTTTCTGCTGTGTTCGATCCGATCAGCAGGCAGCTCTTAAAAATATTGCAACGTGTCCGCATCCACCTTTGTCACTGGGTTTGGTTCCAGGCAACTCTTGTCTCTTCCCCAAAGTGGAAATCACCAGGAAAGGTGAGTGACTTGAATCAATTCGGGACGTGCAGGCATGACAGACAACTTCTAGATCTGCGGCAGAAAGTGGCAAGAGTGTGTGTGTGAATCAGCAGGAAGTATTTGAAGGAAGATTCTTGGCAATCAGTCTTTTACTGTAATAATTTTTTAAATTAAGAATTAATACTTTTCTACATACAGAGCCAGTTACACACTTCATACATATGCATATATATATGGACATCTATGTATCGTGTGCATAATTATATGTACTTATACACACATGGGTATGTATGCATATCCTTGTGTTTGCATATGTGTACAAACAAATGTGTACACATGTGTGGACATGTGGAAGTATATTTATATCTATGTGTCGCATACATAGAAAATGACATTGAGCTCAAAACTTTACATTATTTGTGTACATGTAGGAACCTTTTCTATCCTTATTGTCGTTATATACATTTAATTTTCACAGAATTCTCATCAAGCTCTAGCGCTATGTCCATGCAGGGAGGGCGCCGACGCCCTAGGAGACTCCACAGCCCCTGCGGTCTCTCCTGGAGTGCCAAGTCCACACGTACATCACAGGGCAGAGCAAGCCCTAAGCCAGGTGTGGAAACTGACATGCGTTTTAACAGCAGAGACAGGAAAAGAGAGCCAGGAGAGTCTGCTCCCTTTCCTGCCCCACCTCTGCCTGGGAGGCAGGAAAGGAATTTGGAGGACAAGTAGGGAGCCTCATGGGGCCCCCTGTCTGGCCCTGGCCCTTGGCAGACTGCACATAAACACTTCCAGTGACTTTGGATGCTCCTGATTGGCCTGAAGCACAGAGGCCGTGGCACCCGGCGGACCTG